TCCCCCCCCCCCCCCCCCCCCCCCCCATAGGCCATAGGAGCCTTCTCAGTCGAATCTGGCTTCTCCTACACATAACTATGTTGAAGAAGGAACATTTATTGGACTGTTGTTCATATTGTTGAAGGTGGGGATGTAGGAGCAGTTTGAGAAAACATCACATATGAAACTAGTATTTCAGCCCCTGAACAATGCTGTCCTTGTGGGAACCAATTTGTGAGACAGCCATCAGCATCACAGTCCGCTGTTGCTTCTTAATATTCCTCTCCTACACATAACTATGTTGAAGAAGGAACATTTATTGGACTGTTGTTCATATTGTTGAAGGTGGGGATGTAGGAGCAGTTTGAGAAAACATCACATATGAAACTAGTATTTCAGCCCCTGAACAATGCTGTCCTTGTGGGAACCAATTTGTGAGACAGCCATCAGCATCACAGTCCGCTGTTGCTTCTTAATATTCCTGTGGGGATTTCTGCTAGGCTCTGTCTAATTAGAGGGCAGCTACCATTTCATGGGAATGGTTTCTCTTAAGAATGATCTTTGATACCAAGAACAATTTCATGATGTGGTTTTGCTTCAGCTCTTAGAACAGATCTCTGTTTTCGTTCGCTTTTGGGATCATTCTCTAGTTGTCAGAGCCAGGAGTAGTGCTGTGTATGGCCTCTCTCTGACCTACCAGGATAGTTCTTCTAGAGTAGCTGTCAGATGAACACCACTGAGGAGCCCAGTCCCTGTTGCCTGTAGAATTAGAATTCTTTTTAGTAGAGAACCTGGGGGCTGCTATTGGATATCACCACTCCAAGGAGTATCATCTCCCATCATACCTTCCCTCTGACTCACCGCTGAGGCACATGTAAACTGCAAGCATGAATAAGTGAACAAATTGGTGGAAGGTTAGAGGAGAGCTCTGTGTAAACACAATAGTTCATCTCTGTCACCAACTGAAGTCGGTCCAATTAAAAAAATATTTTCCCAGCCCACCCGGTCTGACTAAATTCAGATATTCAAGTGTGGAGCATAGAGATGACCATCCTGTTTTAAACTCAGATAACAAACAGCCCTAATGATGAAGCTGCTAATGGACCAGTAATGAATGCTTCCAGTGGTCCATAGGGCACAATGCTGGCCATTATTAAATCAGTGTTGGCATGTATTTGGGAGTTGTATTCCTTGTTTAAGAAAGTCTTTAGTAGTATCCCTAACAACACATGGTATCTACCTTATGTACTCATACGGCCCTATCACCTTAGTATCTGAGCACATCAGAGCCTTAATGGTTTTATCTTCATACCATGTCTGAAGTGCTAGAGAACTGAGGCACAGAGATAAGTGCCTTGCTTGAAATCCCCTACAAAGTTTGTGGCTGAAGTGTATTTTACTGAGGTTTCCCTTGGACCTTCAGTTATGGTGCCAGTCCTCTTCTCTGTTTGATTAGGTATGGTTGTGCATCAATTTTGATGTTAGAAAGGAACCTTGGGATCATCTAGTCTGACCTCTTCCATAGAAATTCTGCAAATAATTCCTAGAGCAGATCTTTTAGTTAAACATCCAATAGTGATCTAAAAATTGCCGGTGATGGAGAATCCACCATGGTCATTGGTGAATTATTTGAATGGGGTTAATTGCTCCACAGTTAAAAATATACACTTTTTTCCAGTCTAAATTTTTCTAGTTTCAACTTGCTGCCATTAAATTGTTACACTTTTCTCTGCTTGACTGAAAACCCTTTTTTCAAATATTTTGTTCCCCTTTGTAAGTTCTTACAGACTGTAACCAAGTCATCCCTTATCATCCAAACATCTTTCATCTTTGTAAATTATTTAGATTTGGTTTCTTAAGTGTATCACTTTAAGTTGTGCTTTATAATCTTCTAATCATTTTTTCTGGCTCTTCTTTGAACCTGCTTCAGTTTATCTTTGTTAGCTTCACACAAAAAAATGTGGTAGATAATATAGCACTGACAGTTTGCTAAGGCAAAAAAGAGAAACAAATAGAATTTTTGAGAAATGAAACAAAATTTTTCCCCTTTAAAAATGTGTTTATATTGAGAGTTGACTCCATAAGACAGAGAATATTTTATTGCCTCTCTATAAAACCATGGTGCACCCACATCTATAATATAGTGTGCAGATCTGATTACTGTATCTCAGAAAAGGTATCTTCATACTGGGAAGAAGTTCAGAGAAGGGCAACAAAAATGAGTAGGGGTATGTAATGGTTGCCAGATGAGGAGAGATTAATAAGACTGAGACTTTTCAGCTTGGAAAAGAGATGATAAGGGAGGATATGACAGAGGTCTATAAAATCATGACTGATGTTGAGAAAGTAAATAAGGAAAAGTTATGTACTTGTTCCTATAACACAAGAAGTAGAGGTCACCAAATGAAATTAATAGGAAGCAGGTTTAAAACAAACAAAAGGAAATATTTTCTTCACACAGACACACTGTCATCCTGTGGAACTCTGTGCCAGAGGATATTGTCAAGACCAGGACTTTAACAGGGTTCAAAAAAGAGCTAGATAAATTCATGAAGGATAGGTCCATCAATAGATATTAGCCAGGATGAGGAGGAATGGTGCCCCTGTTCTCAGTTTGTCAAAAGCTTGGAATGGGTGACTGGAGGGCAGGGGGATCACTTGAGGATTACCTGTTCTGTTTATTCCCTGTGGGGCACCTGGCATTGGCCACTGTTGGCTAGGTGGACCTTTGGTCTCAATAAGTATGTCCATTCTTATGTTCTTCGGATAATCTTTCATTTCATTCTCAGAAAGCTGAGTGGGGATAATGTGGTGAAGGAGAATTCCCAGGTTATAAGCCAAAGACAGAAAGTCCCTTGTTTTCCTCTAGCAGTCCTCTGAAGTAGTATTTACTGTCTGTCATAGAGCGTAATGTAATGTAGTACTTTGAGGCAATAAAATTTATTATAACATGCTTCCTTCATAAACTTTTGCTTGTACTCCATTCAGAAATTAAATAAACCAGACAACACATTAAATTGCATTTAAATGTAATGATCTGAGTTTATAAAAATCTGATTGTACTGTCTCTTTTATGATTGCAGAACCAAGAGGGATGGATCTTTGGCAGCTGTTGCTTATTCTGGCGCTAGTTTGTGCAGACAGTTCTCTTTCTGCAGGTGAAGGTGAGTTTAAACATTTTTTTGGCCATTATTTGGTGATGTCTGAGTTCTTTGGTCACAGCAAAGTGTATGCATTGCAGATTTTCTGAAATAGAAAATGTAGCTGTTATCTTTAAGAATAGACGAGTTTAAGACAGAGTGTTACAGCCGTGGTCCCCAACGCGATGCCCCGTCAGAAGACCCCACCGGGCTGAGGGACTCCGACAAGGAGGCCGGCAAGCTGACCCTGTCCGGGGAAGGTACCGGGCCAGGGGAAGGGAAAACGTGCATGGCTGAGAGAGGCACGAGCATGCGCTGTCAACCCGGGTGGAGCCACGTCGGTGGAAGTCACTTGCGGCGCACCGGAGGGGGTGGTGCCACGTCGGTGTGGCGTTGCGGCGCCTTTTTTTAAAACGGCCAGCTGTGGCTCAGGGAAGGAGGAGGAAGGAGATGTGCTGAGTGGGGCATGAGGGAGCAGAGCCTGGCTAGAGGCGTGCACCTGACAGGGCGGTAGTGCTGTGATGGGCCGGGGCTGTGAATGCCAAGCGGCCCAGCTCCAGCACCTGGTCTGGAGCCCAGGCTGCAGGGACTTCTGGGGCCCGATCACAGCAGACTCCAGCCCTGCAAACTGGAAGGCAGAAGGGAGGGGGGGGGAAGAATAGAGGAAAAGGGTAGGAGAGGAAGGGGCTTGTGCTGATGGGAGGGGGGCAGGTCAGGAGAAGAAAGGGGAAGGCACCAAGGGACAGGGGGGGGGAGAAGGCACCAAGGGACAGGGTGGAGGAGATACAAATGCCAGGGGAGGGAGGCAAGTGGAGACAATGAGAAAAATGGCAGGAGGGGAGGTATCAGTGGGAGGGGGGACAGGGTGATGCTGGGAGAGGAGAGAATAAGGCCATTGGGGCTAGAGTGGAGAGGTGCTGGGAGAAGGCTTGAAAGAAGGGATGGGCATGAGGAAGGCGGAGATGGAGCAAGTCATGTGTGAGGGCACAGGGGAATGAGGGGAACGGGGGCAGAGGGTGGTGAAGGGGTGGGCATCAGGGAAAAAGAGGGCAAAGGGGGCAGAGGCAGTAAGGGAAGGGGGAGGCACCAGGAGGGTGCAGGGGTAAGGGAACGTGCAGGTGCCAGGGGATTCTGGGGGTGAAACAGAAGGGCAGACACCTGCAGGGGAGAAACCAGCACCAGAAGAGAGAGGCAGGGCAGGTGTGTAGAGGAAGGTGTTAGGAGAGGGGATGAGGAGGGGTAGCTCACATGATCAGAGTGGTGCTACTGGAGGAGTGGGCACAGGGGGGAGAGAAGGGCTGGTGGAGGGGGGCAGGTCTCAGGAAGACTGAGGGCAGTGAGAAGGGCAGGAGTCAGGACAGCAGAGGAGGGTGAGAGGTTGGGGAGCAGCAGGCACCAGGGGAGCTGATGGAGCCAGGGGAGGAGACACGAGGGGGGTGGGGAGTGTGAGATTTAAATGTGCCATGATTTTTTTTGGGGGGGGAGGGTGCGTTTTTTGCTCAACAACATTTGGACATCCCCCCCTTTTTAGTAATGCAGAATTTTGTTTAAAAATTACAACATAATTAACATAAAAATTATCCAACTAAATTAAGTTTCTATCAAATTTACCCAATTCACATTTAATATGAAAATAGCAAATTCACATGGTAAGGTGAAAGAGTAATTGCTGAATAATTTAATTAATACCTTTTACATGTAAAATTACCTTTTTTTATCTTAGGATTCATATTTTAAATATGATGTTTTTTGTATTCTTTAATGTACAAATACAAAATAAGCCTTGAAAAATTGTTGGCGCCCGCCACACTCTTCTGAAAACATGAATGTGCTATTGTCCACAAAAAGGTTGGGGACCACTATGTTACAGCATAAAAGGAATGGTGATTTTAAATACAGCTGCACACGACACTGGATGAGATGGAGGTGGAATCAGTGTTTGCATTGGAAATCTATACATTCAAAGAGAAACCTAAAGCAGATTGTGCTACTTACAACTTGGATTGGGAAACTAAAACCAAAGCTTCCTGTGGATTTGCTCAGTTGCTGATTCAATAAGATTTAATGAGATTTAATGATTTAATAATCATTTACCTCACTTCACTTGCCTCAGAATAGAACTCATTCAGTCTTTTTATCCTGATTTTTGAAATCCCACCCTGTGCTGATAACCCCTCTCTGGTTCAGAAATAATAAAGAAATTACACATTTTTACACTAATCTTAATACCAAAGCCAGCATTGTAGAAACTGTGAGCAAGTTGTAAAACACATTCCAGTAGGGAAACTAATTAGAATGAAGTAAAATCGGTATGAAAGAGGACACAGGACTGTTGCAATTGTTAATAGCAACAGGCCAGACCACTCAGTAAGTCAGGCTGTAGCTCATGGGTGGGCAATAATTTTTAAAAGGTGACCACTTAAGAAATTTCTGAAGTGGCCCCAGGCCATCCTGGAAGGGACGGGGCCTGGGGCAGAAGGGGAGGGGCCAGGAGACTTCTTATGCTTCCCATACACACACCCTGATTGGTCTAGGGTGGGGGAGCATGAGAAGTTTTCACCCTCTTTGCCTTGCCCCCTAGAGAGAAATGCCAGGTGTTTTAAAAACAGCTGGCATTCCCTCTAGGTCGCCTAGCTGGAGGAGACTTCGCATGCTTTCCCTGCTCCCAGGCCATTCAGGGCCTGGGGGCATGGATCACGCAAAGTCTCTTTGCCTCGCAAGAGCATGCGACAGCTAGAGACACATGCCGGCTGTTTTAAAACAGCTGGCATGTCTCTCTAGCCCAGGAGTGGGCAAAGGGCCCTCTTCAGGCCAGATCGAGCCTTCCAAGCTGGTGGATCCGGCCTGCAGCCACCCTGCTCCTCTCCCACACCAAAGCCAATCAGGGCCTTTGGGTGGGGGAGCGTGCAAAGTCTCCTCGCATCCATGGCAGCTAGAGACACATGCCAGCTGTCAAACAGCCAGTGTGTCTCTCTAGTCTCTGCACACCCCTGGCAGAGTGGGAAAGGACGCAGGAGACTTTGCGCGCACCCCACCCCTGGGCCGTGATTGGCCTGGGGGCAGGGAGCACATAAAGCTTTGGGTGGCCCTTCCCCACCAAAGGCCTGCAGCAGCTAGAGATAAAAGCCGTCTGTTTTAAAACAGCTGAGGTGTCTCTCTAGCCACCGCACGCTCTTGCGGGGGCAAGGAGACTTCATGCACTCCCCCACCCCAGGCCAGTTAGGGCCTGGGGATGGGAGAATGGCAGGGCAGCCATGGGCTGAGTACACCAGCTTGGCGGTGGGCCCTTTGTCCACCCCTGCTGTAGACCTTAATGTAGTCTGTGAAGAGGAACACCAGATGTGACCCTCCCACTCTCTGTGGGGTTTTAGGTCCAATGGAAGAATTCAGTTCACAGATCTACTGACCATACCTCTGGTCTCCCACAGTTCCTCTTCTCCCCATTCCACTGCCTATACAGGAATGAGTCTGTGGCAAGTTGGCACACTGGGGCAGGGGGAAGAGGTAGCTTCCAGAGGTAATATGATGACTCCATAGATTAAGCCCTTTGGGCCTGATCCTATATTCCTTCAGAATGAAAATTATTTTTATTCTATTTCATCAAATATACACAAGACACAAATAAATTTCCATCAGTAATAGAAATTAATGTATAAGCAGAGTTAGAAATGTTGCTTGAGTACTTCTTAGAATTAATATTGTATATTTTGGCCCTTTATTTCATATGCATATTTAAAATTGTTAAAATCTCAATGTCAACTCTCATTCATTAATGACTACCTGCCTCACTCTCTGACCCTGCTCATAATTCCCACAAATGTGAACATTTAAATAATTAAAATAGAAAAATGCTCAAAATATGTTAACTGTCAAATATATTAAAAAATAGAGTTCTGTCAAGCCTGTTCGTAACAAACCTCCAGAAATAGAGCTAAAAAACAGTTACAATACTGGCAGCTCCTTAAGGAGCTGTCCCCAACCTTCTAATAAGAAATAAATTCTTAGTAGAGAGAGTAGAGTAATAGGGAAACTTGGAGGAAGGCGAGTGAAAAGTGATTCCATTCTAGAAACTATAAATAAATTAAGGAAATCTTCCCCAGAAGGGAGGGCTTTACAGCTCTTTACGAAATTCATTTTACAGTAAAACTCCAATAGTCCGGCATCCAATAGTCCAGCACTCCTGATAGTCCGGCATCAAAATGGTAAGAGCCTAGTGAATGAGCTTCGGCAAAAAATGATTCACAAGGTAACAGCAGCAGCAGCTGAACTGAGCAAAAAGGGTAAAAAAGGCTTAAAAAAACTAAAACATTACAGTATACTGTATACAGTATGTGCAATAAAAAGGGTTAAGAACACTTTATATACAGTATATAATATATACGGTATATATGTAACCAGCTTATAGTACCTTCTGATAGTCCGGCATATCTGATAATCCAGCACCACCTAGATACCATTGGTTCCGGATTATCAGAAGTCTACTGTAGTTGGTTTCTTCTTTCGTTTCTTCAACTCTGGAGTTCAGAGCCCACCCACTGCGTACATTATGCAAGTTAAATATATATTGAATTGCAGGCTGTAGTTCAACAACTTCCCTGTGGCTGGTTATAGAATCTGGTTTTAAACCAAAGAACTGTGGCTGAGTGCCCTTTGTTCCCCTCTGCAGCCCCTAGTAAGGAGCTACTGCTAGTTTAATCTCTGCCTTCTGCACTAATGTACTTCTGGCTCTTCCTGGTGCTGCTTACGTGGTATTCCTGGATGTCTCTGTTTATAGATCTGTTGTAAAATAGATTTACGCATTTTGCAGAAAAAGAATATAACAAATGGCTTGGACCCCAGGTAAAGCAGCCTCTACCTGCAGTGGGTCCGGCGGGACTGAAGCAGCCCCCTGCCCATGGCGAGCAGAGAGCTGCTCCATTCCCCTACCGGTTAACTGGAACCAGTAAGCCTCACCCTTATTGGTTAACCATTCACATCCCTATCTGATAGCCGCAATGCATTTCACATGTCAAACATATGCCAGC